ACACATTTATTCCAAAAAGAAAAAAGAGACGGAAGAATTGGAAGTAAAGAGAAAGGGAAAAAAATATTATTTTTTATTAGTATATTACTTGAGTAGAGTTAGTATGATACATTGGCTGACACATACATTGACAGACACACACACACATATTCTCTCTCTCTCATACACATTATCTTACATACTCACAATTTGTTTTTTAATTTGAATCCACCCAGCCTCCTTCCTTTGGGAGAACTAGATTGGTTTCTTTCCTTAGGATCCAGTGTGGCTGTTGGCATGGCATGGGGCATCTTCCGGGGTTTTTGGGGCTGGAATTTTTTTGCTGCCCACCTGGAAAGCTACTTGTTAGCCTTGCTGTAAAAACAGCTCTGCTGTAGGGCGCACAATGGAGAAGTGCTGGAAGAGCACGAACATCAGCTCTCCCTTGCTGCCTGCCTCTTCTCTCCTCCCCATTATATTTCAGCAGTGTTGAATAAGTGCACTCACAACCTCACTGACCATTGTAGTTCCACCACTGATATAGTATAAAAAGATCTATAAAAGATTTTAGTATAAAATGGAGTAGTGACCTATCATAAAACAGACACTGCACACTATATAATAAGTTATATTTCTTACATACTTTATGGTGAGAGGACCATTTCCATAAAGTCAAGCACATTGGGATTATGTACAGTCCAACATTGGCATCCAATCAGTAACATTTCAGGAATTTTTATTTAAACTGAGCCATTAAACTTAATCACAATTGACACTTACTCCAAATAAGGTTAATGACTAGCATTACGATTTTGGAGAGTGGCATGTGTGGTATTAACTTGATATGCATGTATGTTTCTTTAAGCATGTTTAAACCTGACTTTTTTCAGGTATAGTGTTATGCTATCAGTTTTGTTATAGGAAGTTTTGGCTTCCTATAAAATATAGAGCTCAATTTAAAATTCTGTTTCTTGCTTTCAAATCTCTACATATCTTTCCTCCCTTATACACAAGTATGTCCCGTCTAGGCCCTTACGATCTGTTACGTCTATCTTCTGTCCGTACTCCCACCTCTGATGCTCGCCTTCAAGATTTCTCGAGGGCTGCACCGTTCCTGTGGAACTCGCTTCCCTCCTCCGTTAGATGCTCACCCAGTCTCCACTTCTTCAAAAAATCGTTAAAAACCCACTTCTTCATAAAAGCGTATCAATTAAACTGTTAATAGCTCCTGACTGATTCCTCTTCTGCAACTGTCACTAGTCTAATACTATCCTTACCTTTTTGTGTCATTTTACCCCACTCCCTCTAGCATGTAAGCTCATTGAGCAGGGCCCTCAACCCCTCTGTTCCTGTGTGTCCAACTTGTCTGGTTACAACTACATGTCTGTTCGTCCACCCATTGTAAAGCGCTGCGGAATTTGACGGCGCTCTATAAATATCATAATAATAATAATAATAATAATAATAATAATGATGTTGTTGTGTGCTGTGCAGTGCTTATTTATTCAAGCAGAAACATTGCACATGTTGATTGCATGCTCCATGACCACTTCTAAAAGCAGAAGTGGTCATGGTGGTTGGAGTAACTCTTTGAGACTGATCTGTCTCCACCCTATTATAATATTTATTTTTGTGTTATGCATAATACATTATAAAATAATGGGGCAAAATCTGCATGGAATACCCTAGATTGTAAGCGTGTTTTATCAGGGCCTTCCTAACACCTTTTTCTAATTTTAAAGGCTGCAGAAAATGATGCTGCTATATAAATAATACTTCTACTAATAAAACGTCTCTCTAAAAAATGAACATCAATGTATGTGTTTAAACTAAAGTTTTTTTTTACTTCTACTCAAGCTGAGTTGAAAGAGATTTAAGTGATTTTTTAATGTTACTTTTGTACAAGGGAAATATTTACATTATAACATTATCGAGCAAGAGATCCTAATGGATTTCAGCTCTAACACTCTATGTACATTTTTTTATTACTGAGATAATGGAGAACTAGCCCCGTGCATCAAGACATAAAAATAAATAAATCAGAATAGTGTAATAAATGTGATGGTAAATGTAATTTATTCAGACAACTGTGGCATAAGGATTTATAATTTGAAAAACTATATATATTTTGTTCAATTCAAATGTTTTATTGAATTTATTTTCAAATATAAAATCTACATAGAAGAAAGGCGAACATTATTCTGGTACATGAACAAGTTGGGAAGTAAGCATATGGCAATGCAAATGACACAAAATGTGAAAAGCTGTACAAGGAAAAATATACTTTACAGCAACATGTCAAAGTATACGTATGGAATTATTCCATAGCACCAAAGTGAAAATCAACCTAGAAGTGCAGGAACATGATATAAAGTGAGAGAAGAAAGAAGAGGAAGAAGAAATGGCATGATGGTGTGTAATACTCAATTACCAGGTTCAAAAAAGAAGGGAAGAATAGGCAACCATTTGCATTGAGTAAATGAAAAACTAATACATTTTAACTGTTTGTGTTGGTTGAGATGGAGCAAGAAATTAAGGTTTCCAAGAGCTCAGTGCAAGATAGAGCTCTCAAAATCTCAGGTCAAGTTGGAAGTACCGGTGACTTTCCAATGCTTGCAACCACTAATTTTGCAGCTGTAAAATGTTAATCCGTAATTTTTAGAATTAACAGAAGTAATCTGTTTAGGATAAAAACCTAGTAAAATAATTTGTGGAAAATAAGGTAAAGTTATATGTAAGACATTCAATTGTAGGATAGAATTTGGTTGATATCCAAGGAATTCCATTTCATGAGCTAGAACTAGTATTGCATTAATTACCCTCAGACCTCATGCTTCAGAACATTTTCCACAACCACTCACAGTCTGCTACCAATCTACAGGTTTATTACCCATTAGCAACATACAATCAGACATACCTTCAACATATTTCTGTACATTTTATGATATAGGTATTATTTTTTTTTGCTGATTTTAGCAGTCAGAAACAAATAAAACAGTAAATGTGAATTATGCTAAATTATGTTCACACTTTGAGTAATCCAAAAGTTATTTCTTTAGAGTGTCAGAATAATGCCGCCTAACACTGGGAAGTGTGGACATTGATACAGGTAGGCACACTTACAGGAGGCATGCCAGCAGGGCCAGCACTTCCATTAGGCCACTTAGGCAGTGGCCTAGGGCGCCACAGGAGAGGCGAGCGCATGAGTGGTACTGTCAGAGCACCGGCTGCAGAATAATTAAAATGCCCTGCATTTTCTCAGTTAGCCCCCAACCTCCCCCCTTCCAAAGCCATGGTCCGAGGTCATAGGCCGACCCCTTGGTGCAGAGTGTGAGGAGGGTGGACTTGGTCTGTACTTCCTGGCCAAGTTCTCACTCTTCCTACTATATTAGAGCATTGCCATGGGATACTGCGTCAATGCTCTAAGTCAGTTCCTGGTGCTGGCCAGAAGGAGCTGCATTTCCCACTGGACCATCAGGGAACAACGTAAGGTAAAGGGAGGGGGGAAGAAACCTTTAGTTTTTTTTGTTTAATTAAAAAATATATATTAACCCACTACATCCTCTAATCCCCACTACTGCCCCTATCCCCAACCATTGTCCCTAACCCCCATTACTGCTCCTAACCCCCCACTACTGCCCCTATTCCCCCCACCATTGCCCCTATCCCCTTAGTACTGCTCCAAACACCCCACTACAGTCATAACCCCCCCAATTCTGTTCCTATCATCCTAGTACAGGTCATAACACCCTCCACTGCTGCTCCTAACACCCCTACTACAGGTCCTAACCCCCTCCACTGCTGCCCCTTTCCATTCTCTACAGATCCTGACCCCCTATTCCCACTTAGCCCCTCACTTCTGCCCCTAACCACCACTACATTTCCTAACCCCCAGTACTGGCCCTATTCCCCCCGCTACAGGTCCTGCCCATATTCCTCCCACTGCTGCCCAAACCCCCCACCCCACTACTGCCTCCTAACCCCCACTACAGGTCCTAACCCCCACTGCTAACATGCCCCTACTTCTGCTCCCACCTCCCACTACAGGTCCTACCTCCCCCACTGCTGCCTCTATCCCCCCACTACTGCCCCTAACACCCCCACTACAGGTCCTATCCCCCACTACTGCCCCCACTACAGGTCCTAATGCCCCACTACTGCCCCTAACACCCACTAGAGGTCCTGACCCCCCACTACAGGTCCTAATCCCCCACTACTGCCCCTAACCTCCCACTACAGCCTCTAACTCCCCACTATAGGTCCTAACCTCTCACTACTGTCCCTAATTATGAAAAGCTGTACAAGAATAAAAGCAGTTTACAATCTGCCACTTATCCATTACTTCAGGTACCAACCTACTACTTCAACCTCTAACCCCCTACTACTGCCCCTAACCCACATTAGTGCCCCTAACCGACACTAGTGCCCCTAACCCACCATTACTGCCCATAACCCCCTACTACAAGTCTTAACCCCCACTTCAGCTTCTAACCCCCTGCCCCCACTACTGCCAATAACTCCCTACCACTGTCTTTTTACCCAACTACAGCCCTTATCCCGCACCACTGCCACTATGCGTCCATTACAGCCTCTATCTCCCACTAAAACATCCACTATTGCCCCAAACACCCACTACCACCCTTAACCCTGACAGGTGCCTTTAAACCCTCACTACTGCACCCAAACCCCATCTTCCACTACTTCCCACATGTATTTCCCACACAGCACACATTGCCACACACAACACTCACAGCACCAAAAACTCATTACTCACAGCTACTCCCACTGCTACACATAACACTCACAGCTACCCAAACACAGCCACTCACAGCTATACACACATTACACACAGTCAGCCTTATACATCATGCACAGAAAGCCACAACACACCTCACATGTAGCTATACATCATGCACTTACAGCCACCCTACACAAGACACACACCCACACCACACATCCACTTAACATTTTAACAAATATTCATATTACATTACATTAAAATATGGCATAGAGGGGTGCGGGGTGTGACTGCCATGCCGGGTAGACGTGTTGGGAATGAACTCCGGACGTTTAGGCACTAGTTTGAGGTTTTATACCCACAAACTCGACTAAACAACGAAATCTAACCCTCTCTCGCTGCACCTGAGCTCAATGCAAGCGACAATACCTTACTTGAAGCTGACACACTCCCGGAGAGTGGACTGATTGATCTGTGGCCTGGTGTACCCTGGAGAAGCGGCCGATCTCACATAGGGGACCACCCCGAAAGCGGCTGAAATCACCTTTAGGAGCCCCGTTTCCCCCCCCCTGGACCGGTGGGGGATATCCCGGTCCAGGAAGCACCCCCACTGATACAAGCATTACTGCATTGTGGCCGACCAATGCTGAAATGCAGCGAACCACCAAAGATGGCTGATGCCACGTGCGCAGACCACGCTAGACAAAATCTTTGTGGACTTCTGGGCGAAATTAAACAGCTGACTACAAGCACCCACCCTGCAGACGCCGGGCCCTACCTCACTACACGAGCAGCCCCCGAGCACTCTGTGCCTTCCAGCTGCTCTGGCTCCAAGTAGGCGGCCACAACGCAACCACCGTCCTGCCGCAAAAACCAAGCGAAACTCAGCGCAATTACCGGCATTCCGTCGGAGGGGCGGTCCAGAAGGTGCACCAGTAAAGCGAACACCTACTGTCCGAAGACATGCTAGCACCCCTGCCTCCCGGCCGAGATCAGCAACCTTTAGAAGCTGGGCAGGGGGACACGCCACTGCCACGAACCCTCCCCTCCCTTTCCCACATGGCAAAGGGACAACGCTGCAACACGGAAGGTACTCTGAGGGGAGCCCAGCACGCAACAACCTAGATCTCAGCCTGGGCCAGATCCTGATGGACTTATACACAAGGTATTTGAGGCCATGCAGGGGACTTTCTCACTCATTCTAGGGGATGGCCTCCATGTGCTTAGTCCCAACTACCTGCTAACCCAATTGTTTTTACCTCTCATTTATGTTCAACACATTGTAACACCATCATCTTTTAAGCAGTCAGTTAGCATACTCATGTTTCCACATACTTCCTTTCTACAGTATAATCTACCGACATGTCAGGCTCTACCTTCCTAAAAGCATGATGTTACTGTGTTATGTGTAGCACTCTTGTCATATCATAGTATACTTATAAGCACAGCAGGCTAACCCTCATCTGGTGTTACCTACCCCATAGAGTTTAACCTTAGATACACAGCCTGTTTCTTCTATGCCATACCGTTCTGTTCAAATCACACGGTGTTCCTCTACTATATGTGTCCTCTTAAAATGACCATCTTGTACTTAAATATAAAATTTGTGCACTGTTCCCACATACCCTACTGTTATCATTGTTCTGATATATGCAAGTGGACTGCCGTTGGGGTACCGCATGCCTGTATGTTACCCTCATATGCACTGCAAAAATTTAATAAATAAATAAATAAATAAATATGGCATAGAAGAAGAATTTCCTGATGCACATCCTAATGAAATGGGTTGTGCACGCGGCACGTCTATGTGTAGCATGTGGCGGCTTTACTGGAGTCTGGGCAAATTAGTTGCCCAGGCAGACCCGACAAAGAGCCTAAAGACTGGCTGGTCAGCCAGACTGCTGTAGAGGCAGGGATGGGGGCATATGTTATGTCATGACATGGGTGGATGATATTGATAGGACATTGTGATGTAACAATATGGGGTTGGGCAAATACTTTTTTTGCTTAGGGTGGCAGAAATCCTTGCACCGGCCCTGCATGCCAGTGACATGTCTTGCATCACTGGTGACACCCAAAAGGGAAGGTCAACACAGAAAGGTTTGTGCCTGCATGAAAAGATGTGGTACCATCCAAAAAAAGAGGAAGATCAGTCTGGTGTGAATGCACACCAGGAAAACGTCCAATAAAGGTGGGTGGCATAGCTGAAGGCAGCAAATGCACAGAATGCTGTTAACGTGTTCTGCACATTTAGTTAATGCAGTTTGCACGGCATGAGCAGGTTCGATTATGTGCTCAATTTTATGGTCTCTGGTGTCCTCAAACAGTGAGGCAATACCCAGAACTCCAGACTGTCCATGTGAACTTTACATAGGTTGGAGATATACGGAATCTTACTCTAAATTGACTCACTAGACCAGTGGTTTCCAAACCAGTCCTCAAGGCATGCCTACCAGTCCTAGGATTTAGGAATTACCCACTTGTGTTAAGGTGTTTCTTTCTTTTTTTTTTTTTTTTAGCACCTTAGACACCACTGGGTAATCCCTAAATCCTGGACTTGTAGAAGTGACTTAAGGACTGGTTTGGAAACCACTGCACTTGATCTAGATGTGACGCTTACTTAAAACTTTGCTGAATCTCATTGGAGGTTTACTTACACTCTATACCATGGGCTCTACTAAGCAGCTGGCTGGAGATCAAAAAATAAACATAATTGACAAATAGGGGAACAACAACAACAGCATATCTATATATAGGAAATTTGTGATTTTTTTTTTTGTGTGTGATGAGCTAATCTTTGAATGCAGATTCTGAGGACCTGTTGAAGTCAGGGCTGATTTGCAGAATTTATAGTGGTAAATTTTGCAAAATGGGCAAATGTAATAGAAACATTATTGCATGAAATAAATATATGAAACATGGTAACACCACCCTCTTAATTCCTGCCACTAAATCAGGACAGTTCAAAGAATCTCTATCTAGAAAACTCTTCCTTAATTGAACCACATGACCTGTTCAGATTTAGACAATTTATGGAAAGTTGCCGGAAACTGTGGTAGAATGCTAGTCAAAAACAAACTGGAACTTGAGATAATTAATAACAGCCTCGGGCAGACGGGTTGCTGAAAATGATATTGTAAAGTATATACCTTTATCTTTAAAATAATTCCATATTCTATTATTATTATTATTATAGTACTAATCTATTAATACATTGTGGTAGCCAAGTTTTAAACAAATGCACATCCAATGCATTTTTTGACTGTGGTTCCTTTACCCACCTACTACTGGACATCTACTACCCATTAGAAGCAGGGATGAATTATCCAAAAAGCGCAGTAAAACTTTGACCAGCATTACTCCAAATAAACAAACAAACAAAAAAAAAAGCATCTTGTTTGGGTTAGTGTTTATTTTTGTAGTGAATATAATTTATAAAATGCTGCTCTTGGAGAAAAACCTATAACGAGCATAAAATGATTTCCATAATAACTTTCTGGTTTGGACATTGTTGAAGAACATAATCTCTTCATAATCCGCAAGCCTAGTGGAAAAGAAAAGAAAAAACTAACAATCTATTAGCCTGACAGATTTGGTGAAGGGAGCTTTGATTAAAAGCAGAAAAGCATTCTAGTTTTGAGTGGAGTGACTTGTGAATCCTGAAATCTATTTGTGGTAAGAGCACTTCAGTCTGCAAACACTGAAAGTATTCATTACTCTTCTTATGGTTGTAGAGACAAAGTCATGCATTTTAAATCTGCATATAAACAGTAAATTGCCCTCCTAATAATGATGGTGTCAACTCAATGCCCAGCTCCATCTTAACTTGTCAAGTCACACAGCTGAACATAAATTACTTAGAGTGAACTTGCAAAAAATAAATATTCAGTTGATTTTGTTTTTTAACCCCTCACTGCATGGATTATTTGTAACATGCATGGCAAAAACACTTGTTCATGTATAAAATGCTAGTGAGATAATAATATTAATTAAATTACACAATGTTTGTTTTTTTTATTTAAAGAAATATTGGGGATAGAAAGTTCAAGACAATGTACAGAGATATGAGCAGTGACACTGCAGGGGAATTATCTATACACTAAAACTGCTTAATAGGCTAAAGTTGTTTTGGTTCTCTGGGTATCCCTTTAAAATAAGCAACATATTGAGACAAGCACAAAATTTGAACAAACACAAAATCCTCAATGATCAAGAATTATGATGATTACCTAATTGAGTGTACAAATCATATAAGAGATTAACAGACAGCAAAGCACTACCACTGCTATTGTTCTTCTCAGCCACTACTACCACTCCCAGCAATATTCTATTTTCTCCTCCCTCCATCCATATCCCCATCCATCTTTTTCTCATCTTGCCTCAGGCTTCAGTCAGTCAAGCTAGAAGAGAGGTAAACCTTAATCAGATGGCCAGGGGCTGCTCTTTGATCACACCTGTAACCTAACCACCTCACCCGTTTTGTACTAGGATCAAAGACATAATCGTCCTATCTGCCACACAGAGTTTATGTAAGTGGCACAATCAATGTCCAAAATGCTTTTTGAAATTGCCAAGTTGAGGATCTGAAGCACCGATAGGTATACAATTCCAGATTAATGTTGCCAAAATCCTTGAGCAACCCATAGTGGATCTGGTGCACAGAGTGTCCCTTATTGTCTCTCTTTTGCAGCTTCTGTTCTATGAGTTTACATTAATTTAATATTTTATTATGTTCAATTTATGTAACATTTTGGTAAGATGAGATTTGTTCACTAAAATTAAGCAAAAGGTCTTATTGCTCCCAACACCTCTTGGTAGAGGAGTAATATCATTTACTTCCATTGCCTTGACCTTCCCCTCATTTCAAATGTCCTTTTCAATTTTATCCCATGGCCACCTATTAAGTGTGATATATGTATTCTTGAATCCTGAATATTACTAATTGGCAACAGTGGTCAGAATCTTACATAGAACCCAACCATCTATATAGTTGGATTTCTAGAAAGACCAAAAGTATGCCTTTCTATGTAGCATATTGCCTTCATCTCTCTTTTCCTTGTCATTAAATACTGTAGATACCAACATATGGCTCTCATGCAATATGTTTTTTTCTGTTTCTTTGATAATTGAAAGAATATACAAACTTCTTTCACTGGAGACAGTTTACTTTTGTAATGGTCTTCTCCCTGTTTGTACAATTGTAAGAGTTGAAAGTGACTAGGTTTGTAATTTGTTGACATGATCCCCACCTCTTGCCAGTATGATTGTTTGATTCTTACACTTCCATGCTGATCTTATGTCATGACTGACTCTATATGTTTTGATCAATGATCCAGTCTTCTATGCGTGAAATCATCACATTATAATCATCTCATTATATTATTATCCATTGAAATACATTTTGTGGAATGTAGGATATTATAGAGCTGTCAGGGTTCTTTTTGTTCTGTTTATTCTGTTCTTTTAAAACAAAGTTCCTGCACTGATTATGTTTGACCACTACTGTCCTCCCTTGCCTCTAGTTCTGAAAACTTACCTTATAATCCTCACCTGCCTGGACTAATTGAGTGACCTACAAAAGGCCTCACCCAACTCCCCACAAAGCCTTTAGATTGAAGTTTATGCTCATCCTGAAACACTTCATATCCTGGCTCCTGTGGACTTACCTTCTTGGCTTCAATTCTGCTTACTTCCAAACCACAATACTAGCCTGATCTACTCCTCAATCTTGCTTACTTCCAACCCTGCTCAATACCAACCTAAACTAATCCTCAATCCTGCTTACTTCAAACCCTGCTCAATACCAGCCTGAACTATGCTTTATCTTACCCACCTGAGATCTACCAGCCTGATCCATACAACGTGTCTGGTCCATACCTACCTGCATAACACCAATCTGGACTCTGTCTCAAAGTAATAATATATGGTGTTATTTTCCTGCTTGATCAATACTCCTTCTAATTGGGCACTGATTAACTAAATTTCTCCTTTTCCTGTTATCCTGCAACCTATTTGTTCTGTTCTGTTCTGGCCTTCTATTTTAATCTATACTTTTACCTATAGGTTCTCTTATTATTTACTTCCATTCCTGTTTATAATCTATTTAGGGCATATTGCATAACCCCCTTTATTTCTGTTTTTTCTCTCTCTTTCCTATAATTTCAATTATAGGATATCCTGTTCATACTATGTCTAAGAGCACAAATAAAGTACCTGAAGTCAACCCTGGCATAAGTCTACTCTCTGACCTGCTCAAGATCATGACAAGAGCAGGCAACAAGCAATAGCATTCTAATGGTGTATACTAATACCGAGATCTTGTTCTCTTACTCCTCAATATTTCTTGATATAATTTCATAACATCATATTTTGTGAGCACACTAACAGACCAGTAAAAATAATAAAGGCTAATAGATAACAGAAAGTAATCACGGAAAGCTGCACCTGATGTCTATTGCTGCTGGTTCAATGTTACATGAAAAAGAACACACCATGGGGAGATTTATCAGTGTCACAGACAGATTTTTCTTTTTTATTTGTTTTTAAACATTTTTTTAGTTCAATGTATTGAGCTGCTGCCTCTTTTGAGCCGTAACCATAATTTTTGAATGACACACTTTTTTTTCAGTGTGTAAAAAATTTATCAATTTTTTCCACAACTCTAAACTTGGCAATATTTCCTGAAACTGAATATTCTGTGAAGAATTGACGATCTTAGGCAGAGAAAGCCAACACTTTTTGACTGTAATTTAATAAAGATATTTTGGATAAATATGGAGTGCTGTGGTGTGTTATCATATATAATTTAAAAAAGTTCAAATTTTAGTTGAATTTGCCCCTTTTAAAAAAAATTAAAAGTGCAGTGCATATTGAAGTACTTTAGTGGTTTGGAGCATCCCTTTAAGTTTTGGCATATAACCACATTGATCACCTTTACATGTTATACATCCTTTATAATGTCATGTGTTTTATTCATTCGTGTTTCAGAAATGCCAGTTATATTCAACATGTGCCAATGTCACTAGCTCTACCATTTTGTTATTGAGGTTCCTTGCATTAGCATGTGGAGAATTAATGTTACCATGAGTCTTTGGTATTTAAATAAAAATAAAAAAAACTTTCATGAAATAGCTACTTAATTGTTCATCACACCATTCTTTCCACCTGAATCCCATGCCCCTTAGCATGCCCAGCATTGGTAGACAATAGTTTTTAGTACATTTAATGAGACATCACTTTCCATTTTGTGTTTTTGATACTAGGAAGAGCAGACAAGAAAAAAAACAGAGCTGCGCAGTGCATTTTGTCAACCATGGTAGAGTATTTCAGCTGGCTGATTGACAGTCCAGAGAGGCGGCCCTACACACAGGAAATAGAATAGACTGCTGGGACATGGTCTTTGCATCTTAACCACTTAAGTTAACAAATTAAGTGGTCATGCTTAGATTGTTGATTTAAATGCCGAGATGGGCAGGAGATGGGTTCTTTTATGAAAAGTTCCTTGTAGATCAGTATGTTAATATTAACTGAAATCTGATAAATCATGTTCTGTATGAATAAACTATAGTAAAAGTTTCATACCACATCACAAAGTTATTTTTTTGGCACCTGTTCTTTTTTAGAGTAGTCATGACCTTCAGAAGTTTGTTTCCTGGACCTCTATTATTGCTCCAGTTATATTCTGCTGATAAAAATGTTCTATTTTCCTTTATATTAAGTGGATCTTATAATCATTCCATGTCTCCATTTTCTATCAAAGCCAAGGTCAGGCTGAAAGCAATGCTTCTGATTTCTCTTGGTATTTACACATAGGGGACTTACTCTATTTGTACCATTCTTATTGACTGATGATGCTGTTAAAATTATTCCTTATGATCCAATTTTGTACTTTGCCTATGTTTCTAGAAGTTGACAATAGTACAGTGGATTGCAATGTTGTTTCCCAGCACACCAAAAATCTAAAACTTTATTTAAACACAAATACTTACAACTATTCCAACTTTTTAATTTTATTGTAGACAGTTATGTGGCAAAAAAACCTAAAGGCTTCAGCTTAATGTTGTGTTTAATTCCCCTCTTACATATATTAACTTAAACACCTCTTAAAAGTAGCCCTATGCTATGCCCTAAGTCCAACTGATGTGATCTTTAAATCATATTGTGACAGTATTAGTTGAACCTACAGTTGTAATCAAAATTATTCAACCCCCATTGAAAATCAGGTTTATTGTCAAAATTTAGAGATTTTCAGCAAAAAGAGGACTATATTCCAAGTGAAACACATTGGGCATGGTCTTGTCTTGAAGGACCAAGCAGGAAGGACAAAGCAGACAACATACAGCAAGACTGACATTGAAACAACAGTTGTTATTTCAGGAAAATTCAGATTCCTCTCAACATAGAATGAAATAAGATTTTAAATGTTTGAAGCAGCATAAGAACCACTCTCATAATTTATTCACGTAAAAAGCCAACTCTCTCTGTTATTTGTAAACAATATCACGCCATTGCCTGTATCGTCTTTCTCCATTTTGTTTTATGATAATATCCAAAAGTAGATGACATCGCACTGGAAGGACACATGAATCCAGATTCTCTTTTAGTAACCTGGAGATACAAACTTTTCTTTTTCTGTTTTTTCTGGTATAATTATTTGTGTCTCTCTATTTCATATACACATATTGTGAGACATATAAGTGAGGAAATGTAGTCAATCTATAAACATGTTTAAGAATATAATTAGAATCACTCTACTTTTCTTGTGTTACCTTTTTTAAGTTACACAGAATATAGTTTTTAACCTCTTCATTACCGATCACTTTTTGATTGAAAAAATATTAGCATAAGATGTATTTGAAGCAAGGGATGCGTAGTAAGAATATAAATATAGCATCTATCTGAAGTGGAGGCACTCCTACTTCAAGGGTTTAAACCTTGTATTCAGGCAGTGTGGAGAGACGCTGGGCAGGGGCACCACTGATTTGCTGAGAGCCAATCACCCCTAGTCACACCTCCTTGACTATGACTTACACAACCTTCTAAATGCTTCCTGTAAAGAGTCATCTAATGTTTACACTTTATTGCTCATTCTGTTTTATTCAGAATTTCTTATCTCCTGTTCTGTTAATAGCTTGCTAGATCCTGAGGATTTACAGAACAGAAGATAAAATATTTTAAAGTAAGTTGCATCTGATTAAAAAAAGGAATCCATTTTGTTTTCATGCAGGCTGTGTTATTGTCAGCCATGGAAGGTGTAACTAGGGCTGCAGAAACAAAAATTATCCAACTCCTAAATTGTAGTGAATTGAGCAGTGAACCTTCAGAGGCATGATCTTTACACAAAAACTGCTTCCTTAAGCTAAAGTTGCTTTGATGACCATAGTGTCCCATTTAATAATTTCCACCACAATACAATTTATTCTAAATAAATAATTAGTTGGGCTGGGAAATAACCTTTCTTCTCAACAAAATCATTCTATGGCATGTATTTCTAATGGGACACTCTGGGTACCATAACCCTACAACATGCTATAGTTGTAATGGAGAAAGGATTTCCCTGGCACTGTCCATCTCTCAGCTTTAAAAGCGTTTATGAATGATCTGAAACTTGCTATACTGTGTCAGATTCCTTGCAGTCCTTCTGGTCTGAGCTGTTCTGACAAAGTGGAGGTTCATACCAGGTTTAACCAGTATTTGTTGGTTAAAAGTCATCAGCCTAATTGTGGATTCCTGGAGACCAGATTGTCCCTTAAATCATGCAAATTATTATGTTTCTCTTTAAATCAGCTTAATCTGACAGAAATATACTTTTGCGTTCATTACTGCTGTGGTTTTTTGAACATGTCTCTCTTATTGTCGCATAGTTACGTTGTGAGCTGCATTTCCACTTATCATTATGAAATGTCTTCACTTCTAATTAAGCTGTTAAATTAATGGTTTACTGCAACCTCAATTTATTCAATAAAGTTCAATATATTGTATCCTGGATAAATTAGCAAAGTCATAACCCAGAGGAAAATATATTTTCACATTGCATAAACAAACATCAACAAATATAGAATCCAAGTTTAGAAAAAGGAAATATAAGCTTGCTGTGCTATATATGTATTCTTTTAGAGAGTCTATTATTTTTGTCTGTTGAATGGGGTATTTTGTCCTATTGGACAGCCCTGTGTTTTTGCGTGCAATATTATGACTATTTGAAAAGTTAAACATAAAGAAATATAGAGACTTGTAGATTGACAGAAGTTGACAAAGAGTGGTGCTTTAGACAATCTCCAACGTTGTCGTTATCAATGTTGTCATTATCTGTCAAACTGTTACTCTGCTCCTTCCAACATTGAGGCAATTCCTGCAGCGTTGTGCCACCTTCTGTTTGTGTTGACTCTCGCAAGATCCCAAGAGTCAACACAGAGTAAGGCAAGGTCCAATGTGCAGGTCCTAGGAAGGGCAGAGATGGACATTTCCAGTGAGTGAAATATAGGAGACCCAAAGTTGGCAGCGCCATGAAGAAAGACTGGTGGGATCTGTAGTACTTGAAAATGGTATGTTATACTGATGTCAGGGTCACTAATGAGAATTTGGGGGATAGTGGACCCAA